GGGACACACACAGCCCGGGGTCCCTTGGAGACACAAAACCTGCACATCCAGCATCTCTGAGAATGACACAGTTCCACCCCTGTAACTGCTGCATGGCTCTGGGCAGCAAATGTCCCAGAGGAAAAATGCATGCAATAAATAAAATGAAAAATAAATGCAATATCCACGTGGAAAACGAACTTACTGTGCAAACCTTTATTTCCCATACTTTACATGCGCGCTTACTTACTTTACACTCAGCTACAGAACGTGGCGTTTTTAACGTTATCTTTGCCCTTTCTCTAAAAAACTCTGCTGCCACTGACTTCAATATGGCCTAGTTTAACATTGTCAGGGACCCTTTAAAAATAAAAACATTAAGAAAAAATTAGGACAAAAACTTAGGTGAATCCACTAGGAATGAAGATGTACACCAATCAACACATGTGGAGAAAAATATTCTGTGCCTAAAAATGCTACAATCAAGCAATCTAAAATACTGAAAGTGCCTTTGCTGGGGTTTCTATAAGGACTGGAGCTATTTCAATTTATATTTACCTATTCTTTTGTTTCTACAGGCTATGAAAATCCTGTAACAAGTTAATAACTTTTTCCTTGATTACTCAGATGGAATGTAGTGACTAGAAAGAGTAAAAACGCACCAAATATTAAAAAAAGTTTTCTGAGGCAAGCAGCAACTTCTAGGTGAAATCACTCAAATGAGCTGGTTTTCTTAAGTTTTATAGCAGAACCTCACTTAGTATTTCCATAAACTGAAATTTGGACTGGAGATAAAATGAAATTTGTTTTCACAGGTTGCCCAGTATTTCCAATGCATTTTCCAGCAATTTTTTCCTGCACCGAAAATACCTGGGAGAAAGCACTGAACATTTTAGCAACACTGCAGTATATCACACAACAAAATACTAAATCTTGCTAATGAGTAAGTAGCAATGGGGGTAGTGTATAATCCTGACACGGTGACCCCAGATAATATTGGAGGGGACTCTGCTTCTCATAATGAGAATCGCAAGAGGAAGCCTGTAAAAAAGACCCTATATTAATGAAAATTGGAAAGTTTACTCCAAAACTTCAACTTTCCAAGAGAAATGAAATGCTGGGGATAAGGCTGACCCACAATTTGACTTCGGTGATCAAAAAAAAAGCAGAGATAAAAAGTTCCACATTTCCAGCTGATCTGTTTTTCCTCAGGACGCATGCCAGGGCTCTGACCAGCAGATCAATGCTCCCAGGATGCAGGGACAGCCCTCCCTGAAACAGAGGCTAAGGAGCTTGTCCCTCAGAAGCAGGTGAGAAGGAGCTGAAGCACAAACCAGCTTATTTTAGGAACAACAAGATGTGGATTTCACCCATCTGTGCTGCCACTGCCCAGCGCCCCGTCCCGGACAGGGTCCCACAACCACTGCAGCTCCCAGGCAGGACACGGCAGCACAGGAGCCCTGCCCTTACCTTGGCCTCGGTGGCAGCCCGTGGTCCAGCCCAGGGACAGGGTGGCATCGGGGCACGAGGAGGTGACGGCGCCCAGGAAGGCGCGGGCGTCCAGCGGCGCGCGGTTCCCGCAGGGCCCGGGCAGGATGTCCCCGTTCAGCCACACGGGCCTGTCCAGGCTCTGCCCCAGCTGTCCCAGCAGCTCCAGGGAGGGTCCCACGGCGGCCAGGCTGTGCAGGACACAGGGCAGGGTCGGGGTGGCGGTGTCACCGCAGTGTCACCGCAGTGTCACCGCACCGCTGCCATCCCCTGAGTGCCAACCCTGCTGCCAGCACCTCCTGCCTCACCTTGACTCCCCAGACCTTGTCACCTCTTCATCTCAGGCCAGAGAAAGGTTTTAACAAAGGAAGCCACTGCAGGCTCTAACGCTGGTGCTGCACCAGCCACAAATGCTGTAAATCCAGCCCAAAAGAGCGAAAGCCATCCCTCCCCACCTTAAGTGGCAAAGATTTCATCACCAGGCAGATCCAGACTCAAAGCTGCCTTCAGATCCATGCAAGGTGATGCACCTGTACTAGGAGAATTAAAAGCACAACGCAGACAAATTTAAGGCAACCGAAAGAGAGAAAAGGCACCCACTCGAACATTGAATGCCTGGTTGTGGTTTGTCCCACAGCTCCCAGGAGCCTGCCTGTCCAGTGATCATCTCACAGATAATTACTGAATGGTTAAATATGAGCTGGCATCACTTAAGGAAACAGTGCAGACACCCTGTGGGCATTTAACAAAACCCATGCTCACATATTCCTACTGTCCTGTGCAGCCCCAAGAAAAAGCACAGCTAGCTTCTTTCTACCTCTACCAAAACTTTCAAAGCCCCGTGGAAGGAAATGAGATGGAGAACAGCGGGGAAAAGAAATGAACACCAACAAAAAATCTTCTTTCCGTCACAGCCCATTAACTAATGCACTGTGTCACATCGAGGTGTTTAAAATCACTACGGTCAGAGTTTTGTAACCAGGTTAGTTCAGCCCCCTGAGCTGCTTGCCCTGTCTCTCCTCTGTGAAGTCACTGTGTGTATTTTGCCTTTTGTGGTGTGGGGAAGGCTGCACAGGGGCAGGAATTCCACTCTTTGAGACGAGCTCAGGCTCTCCAGGAGCAAAGCCAGTGATGGTGTGAAATTGGGGGCTGCAGCATTTCTCACACCATCTGGGGCCACAACAGCTGATATCCTCACACATGCAGGGGACTGTCAGGCCCACAGGAATGCCTCCCTAGTACTGCCAAGTGTAAGGTAATGCAGTGAGAAAAAACCACAAAGCAAAATGGCAGCACAGGGGAAAAAAGAAAAAAAGAGAAGAAAGAACCAAATCAAAACGACAGCAACAAAAAAATCCACTCCCAAAAAACCATAAACCCCAGAGCACTGGTTTTGTTGCACAGCATTTAGGAAACTCAGACTTACAGCTGACTTCCTGTGAAATGATTTTGGCATTTCTGAGGTGGGACACTGAAGACCTTTTGCAGAATACATTAATTTCAGTAGCCAAAGCCAGCAGGAAATGTAATTATGTGGTCAGTCAGGCTGACAGAGCAGAGATATAAAAAAAGTACATTTTTAAAGCACCTTCTTCAGCACTGGCATTCAATTGACTATTACGCAAAGGAACATCAAATTCTACTACCACTAATTTGACTCTATCTGCACTGTGTGATGTACTTCTAAATGTTTTTATACAATAATTCTTTTACAATGCCATGAACTTTTAAAAGTTTTCTTGAATCACTCCACTTGGTTGTAAACTCCATGTGGAAAAAAAATGAAAGGAAGATAGTTTAGAATTCATTTAAACAATAATTAAAATGGAGGAGAAACTTCACCAAAATGCACTAGAAATAAGCCCAAACAAATGCCTACTGCTGCTTTTCCCCTTCTCACAGAGATCCTGTAACAATAACTGGATTTAGCTTGCCTACGTTTTTTACTTTCATGAACTTTCACATGAAAACCATGACTGTGTAACACAGAACCATAGGCATAAATCACATTTTACAACTATCTCGTGGCAGGGTTTCTGCGTTTCTAGGGACTACTTAAGCACTGATGAAGCTCTTTGTAATTTCTGCCAAAACAGACTGAGCACAGGGAAACTGAGACAAAGCAAGAGTCAGGAGCTGAAGGGTGCACGTCTGGAAATCACAGCTCATTCCAAACTCTTCCATGGCAATCTCCTGGGGCTTTCAGGTGTGTTTGCCCTTCGAGAAATGAAGCAGCTAATGGTTCACACTGTGATTGAACCTCTGGATGTTTAGTTGGCAAGGGCAGAGAAAGGAGCCCTCCAGAGAGGCACCAGCGTTTCACCTGCCCAGTGGGAAAGTTCTGCTCACAGCACCGAATTCACTGAGTAAAAAAACATCACTGCTTGTACTTCAAAACACTTTTAAAGGTTTTGTTCTTGCCATGCTTTGAGAATTACGGACTATGTTTCCACATGGATTATGCTTCAGTGTCGCAGACACCTTTTTATGAAGATCCTTTCCTTAGGATTTTTCCTCCTGAGAAGATGAAAGGCCTCAGGAACAAAATGCAAACAGTGATTATCTGCTGCTGTGGAATGCAACAGGTGCAGCTGGGATTGGGCTGATGTGGTTGTTTGTAATTAATGGCCAATCAGAGAGTCTGGGACAGCTGCCTTTGTTATCATTCCTTTCTATTCTTAGCGTAGCCAGCCTTCTGATGAAATCTTTTCTTCTATTCCTTTAGTATAGTTTTAATGTAATATATATCATAACATAATAAATCAAGCCTTCTGAAACATGGAGTCAGATCCTCGTCTCTTCCCTCAACATAACACCCCTGTGAACACGGTCACACTTCAGAATGCTGAACTGCACCATAAGGAGGAGTTTGGTGGACAACCAGCCGTAGAATTGTAACAGGTAAGAACGCAAACAACACAACAATCTTTTTGTTGTGGTACCTCTTAAAGTCGAGCTTGATGCCTTTGTTGGTGCTGCCCATCTGCGCCAGCCACTCCCGCAGGGTGATGTCGCTGTCAGTGTCCGGGGGATGAGCCAGGATGGGGTCCCCGTCCCCTCCCCGGAGCACAACATCCACCTCCACCATGTGCACGTCGCCTGGGGGGTGACAAATTCCACCTCAGCTTTCAGCGCTTCGGGGCAACAGCGACCCAGCAAGGGCGTCCACAGCAGCCCTGCACCCTCACCCCAACGGGAGCTGCTCTCTGTGACACGAGAGATGCCATTCTGGGGGGCTCCCACTCACTAAACTCCTTGCAAGCCTTCAACCAAGTGAAAATTGATGTCTGAGGGGGCATTTGGCCAAGCAATGATGTGGGGATTTTTTTTCTTCACGAAAACAGATAAATGGACGTCCATCACGTGCATCCGCTCCTGTTAAATTTCAGGTTTTTTCCTCTGTAAATAGGGTTCCTGAGAGAGGAAAGATGAGTGCAGGATTTAATACTGGCAGAGAATGAGCATTCCCCTTGACTCATTGCCAAAACCGACAAGGAGAATGTTAGCTCACACACACGACAGGCAAAGAGGAGTCTCAGGAGTGCTCAGGCTCTTGAAAACAGCTTTAGGTAATGAATCTGGGCAGTGCTACCCGCTCTGCAGAGAACCCAATGCACACAGTGACGGCTGAAATACAAAGAAACGAGCCGGTGACGGTATTCAGGATAAAGGATGTCCTATATACATTTACGCAAATATGTGTTTGTCAAATATTCACATAAATTTACACACAATTCACTGCCACCCAGGCTGGTGCACCAGGGCCCTTCTGGCTCTGCGCAACCTTTCCCTGAGAGGAGAAAGGGGGGATTTGGGATTTTAGCCCAGGGAACAGGGACAGGAGCAGAGGGAACGGCCTCAGGCTCA